CAATTGATCTTCGTTTAATTATTGAAATATTCGCGTACATAAATAGAGTACAAATACATGTGATATTGATGCGTGTATGTGTGTCTCCATCTCAATACCTACTACGATCCAATAATATATACACTTGTTTTACTCGGTTCTACCCTCGAAGGGGTAGATTCTTTCCAAAATCCTTTTTAATCGTACCGATAAATGCAGTCAGGAACAATCGAGAATATCAACTGAAACTTAAACGGTGCACCTTTGCACATGTTGCAACTATTATCGTTTTAAGTACATGAAAGCGACACTTGCAGAATATTCGATGCATTTTATACAGGAATATGGTTAATGCTGCTAATATTTTATGCATTTTTATGGGTGTGCGTTTCTTGCTACCGTTCCTTCTCCATATTTCGATACGAGACCACGTTGAAATCGTACTTTTATTCTCCACTTAAGTTTCTCAACATTCGAACGATATCATTATCATCAGAATTTATTAAAAATATATTTCGATCGTTTACAAGTACTCCTTAAAACGATTTATTTGTATTTGTCAGTTTTGAGTGACGCCGTTGAACCGATAATAAACATGATGGAACGGGAATTTGTCGTGATTCGAATACATCGCAATGCCAGAGTATAAATTCTATATAATCTGAAAATTCATGGCTCGATATCGAGAATCGAAGTACCCGCACCTATGGATCCCGAAAGGGTGATTTTTCTCGCAGTCTATCCGTTTCGAGCAATCAGCACTTTCACAAACTTCAATTTCGCGGCCAGTTTATGCTCGACTTCGCGCATTAACCTTCTATTTTCTCTTTCTATCATGGCGATCGTAACTTTTCTAACATCCGATTGCTGTTCGTTGAGCAAAAAATTAGGAAGACAGTTTCGAACGTTCGATAAAAGTGCTAATCTAAGCTGAAACATCAAGACTGCTCATCGCGTTGAAAAAATGCTCTCGCTCTCTCTCTCTCTCTCTCTCTCTCTCTTTCTTTCTCACTTTGTCTCTCTTTTGCCTATGCTTACATGCTCCGTTTATTTTCTACCTTAAATGCTAGTTGTATCGCTAGAGACGTTAGTGAAGCGTGAACCTTTAAATATCGCTAGTCTTGATACGGGTTACAAGTCGATTTCCGCGGAATAAAAAGTAGCCAGGGCCGTGTCGAACGATAGGTGATCGAGGGGGGGCACTCGCGCGACGACGATACTGGAATGTCTACGGTGGATGGAAGAGAATTGTTATCTCTTTTTCCATCTGGTTTTCTCCTTGCAACCCGATCAGAAGTAGCCCTCATGAGATAAGACAGTTAGCTGTGTCTAAGATGTCCTTAAATAAAGTGTACTTATTACAACGTTCGTTGTCAGGGTGTCTCTGGTTGCTCTTAATGAAAAGAACATCGTGGTTCGCGGATCGAGGAACAATTTTCGTCCAGTCGACGATAACTCAATCAAATGGATCCAGCTTTTCTCGATTACGAGGAGCGTGTGTGTGTGTGTGTGTGTGTGTGTGTGTGTGTGTGTGTGTGTATGGCGTCCCGTGGAGACGTCCGTTATTATTTTCTTTTACCTTCTTTCCTACTACCGATCGTTTTCATCGTCCTCGAGAAAATCCATGTTCCGCGACTCGCCACGAAATATTGCACGCAAGATCCCTGCGATCTTCGTCCCATGCGATCTACAAGATCCGATATGTAACGATAAATATTTTCTGTATAAATGGAAGTGAAATGTCAGACGTGTAAAGATGCGTAAAAGACTTGTCCCGTTAAAGATTATTCTGTAACCGATGTGTCTATACCTCTATATCGTTCACCTACGAAATCGATTCTCAGAGATGTGTATGTAAAAACTATAAATCCCCCTCGCGAGGCGTTGCACAAGCGGCGAAGCCTCGTGATTCTCGTCACCCGCAATCGTCTTAAATGTCGCGTGTCCGCGTGAAATTATATTTAAAGTGTTCTATAATGAGTGCGTTTTAACATCATCGATGAAACGATTTTTCTTCGGGGCACAGTTGCACAAGCGACTTGACACTTCCGTCATGCGCAACAGTTCCCCGATCTAACAGCAAATGAGACACCTCTGTCGATGTAGCTTTCTTTTTTTAGAGATGCCCTTGATTTTACCTCTTGCATTCGATTTTACAACACGACTGTTTAGCGTCGCATACGCATTATAGTTGAAAGTTCCTCGAGGTCGAGGGGCATCTGTAACCACCAACGCTCTCTCTAATATCATGTTCCCCGTCTAATCGTAAATGATAAAAGTTCTCGATGATATACGTGACGCATCGCGATAAACCTGAAATTGGTCTTTAAGAGAGAAGGATTATCCGGCAGTGATTCGCGTGGAAAAACTGACGGTTCTTCCGCGACGTTTCCCGGAAGCATGTGTTTCGCGCGAAACGTGAGTAATGCCTTCGAACGGCAGGCGCTGTGCAAGTCGCAATTTTTCCACATGTCCACTGGAACACGTGTCTTTCGGGTTCATCGCATGCGGTCTCGTAACATGCACGACGCGTTACGCGAGGTGAATTTGCACTTTATCCGGAGGTTTCCCCGCCGCTCCACCCGTCCTCTCCCCGGCTGGCGACGGAAAGTTTTCACGGCATCATTTTGCGGGGTGACAACCATTTCTTCATGTAGTAACAGAAGATCGTGGAAATGTAGATGAGGACCAGGAGAGCGCACGTCACGCCGAGGACCAACACGGAAGTCTTGGTTGGACACGGCTCCACTATAGTCACCGTTTTATCTGCCAGATGTAATGGAATTTTTCATGTAACGTAATAAACGGCACTCAAAGGAAATTCTCGAACGGTTCGCGTTATTTTCCATGCAATTACCGGCTTCGTTGAAGTCTATGCTAGCGTCGCTCTTCAAGAAGTCCGACTGCTTCTCGTCGCCAAAGTCGAGAACCAAGATTTCCTGAGACAACGTCATGTCTTCTGCCTTCTCCTCCGTGGCGTTCGCGATGCTTCTTCGACGCCTCTTGCCCCACGATTCTACCGATTCACGTCCCCACTCGCAGACAGCCTGCAATTAATCGGTGTTTTTCGCATTCTGTCGGCAAGACAGGTAGCAAGAGTTCGCTTTGGAGTTCGTTTAATTACCGGTTCACAGGGTCCCAGACAGTACTTGACGTTGCACTGGAAGATCACGCCGTACGACTCGGTGAATCTGAACGCCTCGTAGACAGATTGAAGAGCGTTTCCGTCAGGCGTGAAGCTTGGGAAGATCGACGGATCCACTGGGCATCTAAAGACGAGAGAAATTGCTCTTTTAAGTAAACTTCATATTCTTCTGCGGAATATTATCCTTTAAGACACACGAAAGACCAACCCTTCGTCGTCGATAATCTGGAAGGTGCTCTTCGAGTCCTTTGCCATGGCGACGCAGCTTCTTGCGAAGATTCCATAGGGAGCTGCATAGATTGTAAACGATAAGAGTTAAGACGAATAGCTTTTGGAAGGAGTGCAAACAGACACTCACTGTCTTCCGGGATTTCGATTCTGAAGGTTAGCTTGTCTCCGATGCGGACAGTCTCGACCTCCCTGGACCTGCTGTCGAGGATACGAATCCTTGGCGGAGGGGCTTCTGGAGCGCTGGTGATACTGATCATTTCCGGGTCCCGGATAGGCATCATCCCGAAGGTAATATTCTTCGAGGACATGTCGTACGTGCACTTCACTTTGTATATCTTATCAGCCTTGGTCATTACCACGGAATGGTGCTGGAGGACGACCGTGTTCGAGTAGATTCCAGTCTGAAAACCGTCACGCTGCCATAGTGAACAAAGAGTTTCAGGAGGATCCAACGACTCGAGCGGATATACGGCCAGAGTGTAAACGCGTAAAGTAAGTACATAATATCTACCCTGTATCACTTACCACACTCTGAGTGTTACAGTCTTGTCCGCTCATAGTCAGATCGAGCCTGAACAGATCGCTGTTTATCACGTCGATGTTACAGGTTTCCGAACGGCCGAGAGCGTATATTCTACCGTTGAACGGTTTGTTCGTACGAACTTGAACAGCAATCCTCGTATCCTTGCAGTCAACCGATACTGTAATTGTATTTTACGATTATAATTGCCGATCCATTTTAGTCCGCGCGAATATCGTTGAAATTACAGACGTTATTTGGATCTTTTATTGTCCAGACTTCGACAATGAGAACGACCAAGACGTAATTTTTTTGCAGGCCAATCGAAAGTTCCGCCCCTCGTTAATTGCCGTACCACGGACCTCTGTATACGTACCGTCGTAGCAGGTACCAGTTTTATCGCAGTTTATGTCGTTCCGCGTAAGGTTGTTTATGGTGGGATCTTCCGTAGTCTCGAACACAACTGGCAGGGGATCCGCCACAGGGCCTGTACCCTCTGCGAATCAATTTGAACAGGGAACAATGCCTTCGCCGTACGTGTACGTATATACAAGGAGAAAAATGCAACTGGAAAGGTGTTTCTTACTTTCACAATAGTTCTCGAAATAGGTGCCAACCCTTTCCCCGTTATCGATCAACGGTCGTTCCGCATTGAGGTACGCCGAGGGACCGTCGGGAAGGGTCCAATGATCCAGATGGAATAGCTGACAATTGTAAGCGGATTCCTGTGGAGCACCGCGATAGAGGAAGGATCTACAGAGAAACTCGTTCTCGATCTCGCAGGCCAACCTACACGCGGATTCACTTTGAACTTGGAGCTCTTTATCGGTGTAATAATGCAATCCGGCGTATTGCGCGACCTTGTCGTCGGTCACGCCGATTCTCGGTATCTGGAACACTCTCTGGGATTTGCAAGCCTCTTTTCCTGAAAGTGTCCACTTTTATTAACGCACGTTCCGTGTAAATTTCATCGCAGATTTCTCAAATCGAGCTTTACCTTTCAGACAGAGATTCTCGAAGTAATCCACACCCTGGGCGTCCACGAATTGCACGTACTGGCCGGTCGTTCTTCGATCAGAATCGCTCAGATGACACTGCAGAGTTACGTAATTGTACTCGACGGAGCGACAGGTGAAACGGTGCTCGTTCAGGCAAGCGGCTAGACAAGCTTCCTTCGTCGACGTGTAGATCAGCGCGTTGTCCAAGCCGCGGATCATCTTGTTGGGAACCCGTTCGAAGGACCACGGCCGTAGACAGACGTTCTCTGGAAAATGGTGAACGATTTCTTTTTTCATCGCAAGAAGGAACGACAAAAGGCACGAGATCAAGCGGCGGGTATAATTTTACGATGCCGCGGGACACGTGGGTACGCCTGACCGCAGACACGTCGTTTGCACACCTGACGAGGCATATACAGGCTACAGGGAGTGCTCTTTCTTACGTAACACGAGCCACGCGTACCAACACCTGTAGCCAGACTAAATCGAGTGAACGTCCAACTTGGCACCTTCGAATCCCGATGGTATTTCAAATTTCTAAATCTACATCTAATTCGCTTCGATCGTGTTGCAATTACACCAGACTTCGCCTCTTTTAATAAGCTTTCCCACGCAACCGAGCCAAGGTCACGCCAAGGTCATCCTCGCGGTTTCTCGGTCGCGAGAAATGCGGCAATTCCTATTCGAGGATGTTGAAGCAAATGAAAAGCGGAGGAAGGAGGAGAATGCACGGTTGCGTGAAAAGAAGCGAAAAGAATGCGCGATTCGTACGGCTCCGTGGCTATGGATCGTCGATCGAGGAACAGTTATATATCCGGCCGGTCCGAGGAAGTGTGGCGAATTTCTCGGTTGGTTGATCACGCGAGCGCGCGAGTTAAGCATACGTGCAGATCCGTCGATGCCGAAATCACGAGCAGAGGGACATGTGACTTGGCATATCGCGAGCCTCGTTCGGCCAGTGACGCACGACCGCCGCGATTTTTGGCTGGGAAACGGGAATACGCTCCGGGGGAGCGGTCGCGCGCTCCAATTTCTTTTGTTCCGCTCTCGAAACCGGCGCTAATGCCGACGACCGTGCCAACGAACCGACGCGTCACTCTCACACGGATGATTCACCGCGACTATGCGAATTCCTGATCGTGCACCGATCGATCGGTTACGGCGTGTCTCGTTAGGCAAATGCGATTTCTTAACTTTCCAAAGTATACATAGGTATTTGTTGCGTGTAAAATTACGTAGAATAAGCGAAACGTTTTTATCAGCTTCGGACATATTTACAGTTGGCAATTGCCGTTAGCAATCGAAGGGTTGATACAGAAGATAAAGAGAGAATAGAATTGAGCACGAGTTGAATTCCAATCGCGTTCCGAATATTGTACTCGGAATCTTTAAAAATACGCTGGCCGGCTGTTTTCAGACGCGAACTATTTTCGTGCGTCCTGAATGCGCGCAGACGATGCGGTCCTGCCGAGGGACGCCATCCCTTCTCGCGATTTCTCGCCCGCTGGAAATATTCTCGTTGGCAGTGAACCCTGTCGGTAGTGAGTCATCGTGCGACAATACGCTAAAATTATACGGCACACGGATCTCTATATTTTCTCGAATTAAAACGGCCAGATGCGAGACGAGGCGCGTTACGTAAATTTTCGCGCGAGCCAAATTCTAACGTTCGAAGCGTCGGTCCGTCGCTCGATCGGCCGCGGCCGTGCAAATTCTTAACGAGTCGGGGCCTCGATGACGGAGGCTTGTTTCGTCTGTTACCGGTTATTTTAGGAGAGGAAGGATTACCGAGCGGAAGTTGCCAGCTGTAAAGCGCGTCGTTTCGACAGAATTCTCCAATTTCTAATTAAAATCCGCATCGCAGAAGGGACAAAAGTGTATAACTAAGTTACCTTCGCCAGTTTTCCAAGGAAAGTCTAAATTAAGAAGGATCAACGTACAGTATTTAACGACACCGTAAATGAAATTTCTGGTGGAGCGTTTGGTTATTATACCATTCTCTGTTCTATCGAAAAGGTGGACGCAGGCGTCCATCCTTTAAAGCGTGACCCGAGCCAAGGGTTTTACGACCGAGCCGTGACAGTCGGAAGGATCGAAGGTACCAGCAGGCTCGTTAAACCAATATTAGGGGTTTCTTAGACCCCCTTGGGATCTCCTCGACACCTTGGACGTGGCTGCAGGTACCTGTTTACAGCGGCGACCGTGCTTAAAGCATCCTTCACACCAGCCGGAAAAGGTACCAGCAGATCTTACATTGTTTGTCAAGCCACCCGGCTCCCCCCTTTTCCCCAAACTGTACACTTTCTGAAAGCTGACCGCCTGCGCCTTTTGTATCAGCCTGACGGCTTCTTCACGCTACTCTACCGAGTATGACGAACAACGAAGGAGCGCCTCGTTCGAAATGTAATTCTTCTTTTTATATTACAGTTGAGATACCGGGAACGCGGGAGGAATGTACGGAGAGAGCAAGTCAGAATTTGGATCCTTCGAAGGGGAGAAAAAAAAAAAAGAAGTTCAAATATTGTCCGGACGATATCAGGCTCGTTTACAATGCGCCTATGCTCAAACAACCCTCCACTCGACCAGAAGCTACCGGCTTCCCCGTTTATTTGCACATCTACCTGCTACCCAGCGACTTGGGCACAAGCGTTTAAACCCGGATTATCGCGCCTCGCTCCTCTCCTTCCACCTTTTCCGCTACCACTTCTTACATTGCGGGATTTTTCTCTGACCTGCTCCGTCCTGTTCCGCCTCCTTTGTTCTCCCTTTCGACGAAACCTCTCGAAAGTGCGAGGGTATTAACGTTCATCAAGGAAGTCGTGCTGGTGGCTCGATTATGCAGCGACGTTTAAAACCGTTCACGGACGAGTCTCGCAGCTATACGAAATTCTTCGCAAGAAGAAGAAGGAGGGAAAGAAGCTTCTAATAGCATTTAACCAGAAGATGGAGGCATGATTAGAGCCGGTTCTCGATCGATGGGTCGACAGTTTCGAAGCGTGTTTCACCAGCCAGCTCACCTGATCTGATCTGAAGCTTCGTCATGTAGTACATGTTCGCCGCTCTCTGCGGCTGTGCCGCGGGATTCGTCGCGGCTGTCTCGTTCTGCATCTGGCACAGGGTGTCCTGCATCGGCGCCAAAGGATTTACGACGAACGAGAACGCCGCTGCCTGACACTCGTCCTCCTCGCGACACCAGCCCTGACACTCGTACAGAGACAGGTTTCGCACGCTGTAGTAGGTCGTGCCGCGGTAATCATAGTCCGTCAGCTTTTCGAACGCTGTCCTAGCTGAAACGCGAACCAGGCTTGTTTAAACAAAAATCATCGACCTGAAAGCAAGTGGAATAACGTGTTTCCGGACAGTTTGCTGCTGCTCTTTTCACCAACGGTACACATACGTAGTATAATATAGTTTAAAAGCTGAATAATTACACGTAGATATGTACCGTAAGAAGGACAGAATTTTCCGAGCGATAAAACGACGTACTTACCAGGGGCAGCACGAGTTGGAGCGATGAAAGCAAACAGCGTGACGGTCGCGAGCAGAGTCGCTATCGTGCCGACCGCAGACGAGCCCATCTGTAAGACAGAAGCACAACCGAACGTTAATCCAGTTAGAAAAATGTTAATTACGTTCGAGCTGATTTATACCCGTCGTACTCTAGGTATACCAACAGTCGCGCGCCTCTCGATTCTTGTGCGAGGCGTTTAATGAATTACGAACGCGCGTAACCGGGACGAGTAATGAAACGTTCGCGCATCTGAAACGGTTTTTCAAGCGAAGTTCCGCGCGGTTCTAGCCTCCGGCCGAACTATACGCGTATACGCTAGGCAGTCTAACGAGAAGTGAGAATTTTCCCCTTCTTAAGTTCGCCTCTCAATCTTACGCCGATCGATCGTTTTTATCAGCCCCGCAAAAGTGGACGGGATAAATTAGAAGATCGAGGAACGGTCGGTAGGGCCGATAACGAGTTCGTAAATCAATCCGCGAGAGAATAAATCGTTGCTGAAGCCGATAGATAGCCGCACTCGCTACGAACAGTACGTTCATAAAAGTGTTAAGAGACGATCGGTGGAGCCTCGAAGGAAGTCGCTCGAGATTGGCTACGTCGGCCGAGTAATTCGCTCGTGCAAGCTTCAAGCACGCAAGTCACCTGGCTTCCCTTTTGCTCGTCTTTCACCGACTTACTACTTCCTGGATTTCTACTTCTTTCCCCGCAGCTTTTTGCCGCCTCTCCACCTCCCCCCAGTTCTTCTCACCGGTGTGTATCCACACCCAGCTGTACACGCTCTGTCCTCTTCCCTCCGTCTCTTTCGCTCCTCGATAGAGGAGAGGGCTCGAGATCGTTCGCCTCGGCGGATCCTCGTTTTTCCACCCGGTCGATTGAGCGATTCAACGATACTTACAGTAGGCTGCTGGCTGCCGTGTAAGGCTCGCTATTTCGCGGGTTTGTTCTAGCTTCTTCTACCCCTTCGACCGGCAGGAATCCTGTTTGCGAGCACGTAAATCCTGCTTCAAGACCGGTCATTACGTCAATCGCTGTTCATTTTCGTTTTCCTCTCGTTTCTTCTTCTTCGAGAATCTATCCTTCCGAAATCCACCCATCTCTCCACACGCACACATACGCCGCGTAGTTATTTCCTCGGTGGTTCGTTCACCTGAGTTCGTTTTCGTCGTATTTTCGTGAGGAAAAACCACGTACAGTGACTGGCGACGTGCCTTTTCAGGTAATTGCTCCAGCAGGTAAATGACGCGAGATTGCTCGGGCTGAAATTAACGTAATGCGATAACGGCGCGTTAGGCCCCCGGAGGAGGATCGCCTAGCCTCAGACGACGTTTCGTAGCCTTAGTTCGAGGTCATCGAGCCTGGAATAGCCGAGGACCGTGTAACAGAGGAGGAGAGCTTTGTCGTGGCTTGTACCAAGGGTCAAAGGTTCAGCCTCGGCCCCCACCTAACTCTTCTTCTTCTTCTTCTTCTTCTTCTTCTTCTTCTTCTTCTTCTTCTTCTTCTTCTTCTTCTTCTTCTTCTTCTTCTTCTTCTTCTTCTTCTTCTTCTTCTTCTTCTTCTTCTTCTTCTTCTTCTTCTTCTTCTTCTTCTTCTTCTTCTTCTTCTTCTTCTTCTTCTGCTTCGTCTTCTTGGCTCCGTGGCTCGTCTCCTCCCCCGGACCGCCCCCGTGGCGACGGGCTTCGTTCCAAGGGATCGATTCGAATCGCTTTACACCGTATTCTACCTTCTCGAACAAATACACGGAATTGCTTATCTCGTAGCACTTGCCAAATTCTCGTTGGTCATGTGACACGAGCTTCCGCGTGAACGCAGAAATTAGTTTCCTACAAAAGTCACCACCTTCTTATCCTGACGAACTAAACGAACAAGTAGATTTACGACTTTTCTTCGAGGAACGTTGAACATTATCCCGAGAGATTATTAATTGCCTCGGCTGAGTAACGTCGAAACTTTGATAATTAACGATCAACGTGGCAATCATAATTCTCAATATATACCGAAAGTGACCGGGTAACAATGAGGAACGCGTATCGGTTGCACCAACTCCAACGCCGCGGACGGGTTGACGCACTGTTACGAAGATGAATGTTCTCCTCGCGATTGCCGTGAAAGAAACGCGGATTTGTTCCGGCGCGGAGGCCGGTTACAGAGTTACTTGAGCGGCACTTTATCGCGTTACCGTTCGACGCTGCCTTATTTTCTTCCCTCCGCTCTGCTAACGTCGCCGCGTGTCCCGTGACACGTACTTTTCCCCAACGACTTGGGGATTTCCGCGACATATGGACCACCATCGGTTCGACTTCCTCCTGCGTTTGGAAGGATGCACGTCACATGTGGATTAGGTTGCACGTCGCATGTGTCTCTCGCAGTGTGCCTAATTTTTCAAGGTTAGGATAGAAAGTGTTCTCTCTGGAAGGCGATTTGGTAATTTTTCAAGGTTGAGAAAAGGAGAGATCAATCGAAAGGCGTAGAAAGCGCATTGTCTCGGCTCGTTCCACCCGCAGGAAAAGTCGTTTCGCGTGCACACGGATCCCTGACCTTTACGTCACAACCGGTCTCTCGGCGATACGAGCGAGAAACCTGGCCGACGAGTTCTCGCGAGATGTTCCACGGCTTTTCAAGGCTCTGCCAGCGGAGATCGTGGCTTCCGGTATTTTGTTCCGCGAACCACGTCGCTTCCGGACTCTTCCCTTTTTACGAACGCAATCGGTTCTAATAAACGCGGTTTCACCACTTCCTACCTAGCTATCGTGGGTATGCACACCTAACGTATTCGCCAATTTTATCCATTGTTCGCCGGGTTTTACGATATTCGGAAGAGTATTCGATTAAGAAGAACATAAAGTTCCCCCCTCTCTCCCCGATGTGAGAACAGAGATTTGTGCGAATGCGAAAAGTCGGTACGTGAGAATGTAATAAACGATCAATTTACGAGAAGGTGAACGCTATACCGTCGTATCCTGTGGGAAGAGAGGGGCCTGCAGCAAATTTATTACCATCTCGCATCTCAAAGTCAGTGAAAATCGAACTCTACCAGAAGTAACGTCCAAGCAACCGTCCAGGCAGATCTCACAAAGGATAACATATCAGGTAACGTTCACCTCTGACACACGATTCCACGGTTGGATTCCCCAATTGTCCGCCGCCGCGCAGGTAATTGATGCCTTCGATCGCGCCACCAGCCATTTAATTATCCCGTTTATGAAAGGATCGAGGTCCCGAGGATTATCTCTCGGTCCTACCCCTCCTCGCCCCTCTACGTTTCTACGCTCGAAATCTCACGGTGAATCATGGCCTCCAGCCCCGGTATCCCGGCGAGAGAGCACGGATTTCCATTTGTCTTGGCTTTCTCGTGACTAGGCACAATGATCTCGTAACAAATGCACCAGGCCCTCGCGGAGGCGTTCCCCTACATCCTTGGGACGTCGACGAGATCGCCACAGGCGAATCTAGCCTCCTTATTAACTCGTCCGCCGGTAACGAACTGGTTTCGACGATCTCGGCCCAGAAACCGATCGGATCATCAATATTAAACAGGTCGCCAGGATTTATCGACCCTTCGGAAGGCGGAGGACAGTGGCACCACGCTTTTCCTCCCTTCCACCGGGAAAGAGCTCGCTACCTTCCTCTAGAGTTTAGCAACGGCAATTAAACGCTGCTACCCGGTGGTGTTCGTTAGAGGAATGGAACGGTGATTAGGTTGCATACATAAGCGACGCGTTCTTTGCTGCGGCATTTTTTTCAACACGCAGATGGAGATGAGAAACGGTAATGAGCGCTTTAATTGCATTTACGGCTCGGGTATGTTTAATCTGAAATTTCCGACGTCTTGCCTTTCGTGTCTGCCCTTTAATCTTCGCGAAATTTCTACCGGTACACCTACCAATTAACAATCTCGAGCTGCAGATCGAAATTTCTTTTCTCGCGTGTGAAATCGCGGTCGATAATTTACCCTCCCTTAGATAACGATCTCACACTTGCAGATACACTCGAAACAGGCTGGTGCTTAATTTCGATTGCACGTCGTTCGTTGTTCGAGGTAATCGTAGATTTATCAGGTAATTAATTCCCCTGAAAGCTCTCCATTTGCGTCGTTCAACGTTCGAATTTTCAGTATCGCGTTCCAACAGGCCGTTTCACTCCAACGTTTCCACCAGCTTCCCTCTATAATGGTAATGGCAGTAATTTTTAATTGATACGAGGCGAGTCCACCCTAACGACTTGAACGAGAGGCTTAACGAGCCGCGTTATTTGCAGAACGCTCGCGCGTAATATGTTATCCTTGACTATTGCGAAAAAAAAGAAAAGAGGAAGAGAGACGATACCTACTTGGTACGAATACGAGAGCTGGCCAGAGGCGCTTAACTTGCTACCGGTTGCCGGAGCAGAATACCCGATAGGTAGCAAGTGAATCGTCTCCGGACTGCTAATGAAAAGTCGAACCGCGTTGAATCGCGCGACGAGGAGTCCACGTATACAGAAAGGATTCCCCGTCCACGCCGGGGTAATTATAATTAAATCCCGCGATTCCAGGGTAAATTGTTAATCATTAGGCGAGATAAGGGCCACGGATCACCGGTATTTATTAGAATCGAGCATTTCTCGGCGGCGGTTAATTACAAAGTCACGACCGCCTCTCCTCCTCGTAGGAACGATTATGCGGAGCACTCGCGGCGATCCGTCCGCGCAATTACGCGATGGGATCTTATGGTCCCGTGAAGAATCAATTACCCGGCCACGAGGCTTCTTCGCCGGGGCACCGAAAATGA